AAATAAAATAAAAAATTTAGGATACCAAAAACTTTTACCTCCGTCCGCAAGCCATAATGATGCTTTTTCTACTTGTTTTTATGTGATTGTAATATTTTGCATAGAAAATAGAATAAATGTAGCAGGAAAAGCCTCCCCAATAGAATTTTTTAAAAAAAAATACACAAAAAAAGTACTAAGAAATGCTCTCTTAAATAATTAAAAATATCCTTTAAATCTTAAATTATTAACAGTAATAAAACTATAAAAAAGTATCTAAAATATTGAAAAAATGTACCCCTCCCCCACTAAAGACAACTTGCCCCTCTGCATACACCTGTGTGCACTAAAATCAAGTTGTTGGAATCAGTTGTTATGTGTGCCGAATTTTAAATAGTGGTTTTACATACATACAATGTAGATAAAATGATATGCTGCTACATGACATTTTTATTTAAATGGTTGTGCGGTACATCTACTTTTCTACACCCAAAGTTTTCTTTACAAATGTGAATTCGTCACTGCTCAGTGTCATTCTAAGTGACGTCAATCTTTGATAACTCTTCTAAGCTTCCATAAATGTCCACCAAGTTCTGACGTAATTGTAACATACTGCAAATTAGCAAAAGGAAAAGATAACTGTTTGATTTGTGACTTACGATGAAGGCTAACAAATTAGACGTTATTGCGTACGCTTTATGAAACAAAGTATTTTCTACAATAAAATCAAATCTTGCTGTGCTTTTATTTTCTAAACTAAATTTTAAGCATGAAATAGTTATTATTAAATGCGTGCATTTTATTTAAGTCAGTTTATTGCTGAAAAGAAATAACATTTAACGTAGTATGAGTGATTGGAAAACATACTTGAGTGCACGCTGGTAAACTGCAATGTAAAGTGTGCACTCGTGTATACGACATTGCTAATCCTACGGTAGAATATATACAAAATCAATCGACTCTTATATTTTAAAGCCGAGATGACATAATGGGTTAGGAACTGAAATGTCGTAAAGGACGGGGCTCTATTCTCGATGCTGATGGCTTGAAGCCTTCTCAACTTCAGATCAATGGGTAGCAGCTCATTTGGAAAGCAAATGCACTGTGCTGACCACGTTATAAACATCATCATGCTGGTCTGAATACTATTGTTGAGCCTTGACTTCTATGATACTATTGGCAAACAAGTAGCTGTTGTTCGAAAACCATTAAAAGCATTTAGTCAAGTATATTTCAAACTATGCTTCACCGACCTTTTACTTGATTTCATTTATATTTTGTATACTCCATTAGAATAAGTGCTATGTTTAACTAGTACATAACATTTTTACAAATTTTACATTGCTTTTACATATAAATATATGTACAACTCATTCCTGAAGTGTATGACTTCATTTGTTCGCAAAAAAATAGTTAAAATCGACAAATCGATAAAAGTACAACACTCTTTTTTTCTTCAAATGTAGGGGCTAATTTACTGTAATGATATGCAGGGACCTAAATGACTGACAAGCTATTGGTAAATTTAATGCATAATTAAAACAAAAGGAAAAAAATGCTTTTTATGGAATGCAATATCGAGAAAATATTTAATAAATGTGGCTTTCTAGTGGTCAATTTAATAATGCTTCTAATGAGTGACACTATTGATTAGTTAATTAAGAGATAGTGTTTTATTGATAAATTGAGATAATATTAAAAGTTAATGAAAAATTTAATATACATTACTACTAACCTTGACATTTATCATGATATCTATGCATAGTATATATTTAATATGCTTTGCATTTTCATTGAAATTTTATTTTAAATATTTAACTAAAATCTTAGGGACTACAGTGTGAAATGACATTTTCATGCTGAAACTGAGCTGTATTAACCCTAATATTTAGGATTTAATTCATTTAGCGATTTTAAAATGTGTAATTGAAAAATTTTAATAGTTTTAGAAGAAATATTTATAAAATAAATCGAATAAAGGCTAATGAAAATGGACATAAATAGCAATACGGTTTGAGGAGAATAGTACTTTTAAATAAATTACGGAAAAAATTACAATTTCTTATACATTTCTATAACCTTGTTAGTCCAAATGTTTATGATGATTATTTGATATTCGTATTTGTCAAACATTATTTCAACATTATCACAAAATAGGAGTTTTTAAATTATTAAACATTAAGTTTAATACTTTTTTATTGAAAAATCGGTAAGAGTTGAAAAAAATTATTCAAAACAATTCTGAAACTGTATCATAACAATTTGAAGGGAATAGTACTTTTAAATAAATTTTGGACAAAATTATTTATGTATTTCTATAACCTTGTTAGTCCAAATGTTTGTAATGATTATTTGATAATCATATTTGTCAATAATTATTTCAAAAATAAATGCTAATTTTTACTTAAAAGGAACATTATATTGATTCTATAGTGTATGGATTCTATATTATATTAAGTGTCATATTAATTATGAAAATAATATTTTTCTTAATTATAAACATTTCTCTCAAACAAATAATCAAAAACTGCTATCAACACAAAGTAGGATTTTTTTTAATTGCTAAACATGAAATTTAATACTTTTTTATTTAAAAAAATAGGAAAGAATTAAACAAAACTATTCAAAACAACTCTGAATTTTTATTTTTATCAAAATAAAATAGGATACCGTTTTATTGGGATTTAAGAAAACATGCTACCAAATCAAATAAATATTTTTCGCTCTAACTCAAATTGATATAAACGGAATATTTCAGGTAGTACAATATTCATCAAGAATGTCAAGACTTGTCATCATTTGTGTTTATTCATATCCTATTGGTAAATCATGTCCTTGTTTTTATCAGCGTGGATCTCTTATAACCCGGATTTGATTTTCGTGAAGCATTTATTAACTTATAGCATCTGAGAAAAGTTTTCGAATATTGCCTACCAGATTGCTTATTATTGCTTTCATTAAAATTTTAGGTGAAAATTTGGCTTCATAATTTCTACATGCAGTATTTCAAAATTATCTTTCAAATTTTGAAATTTTAACAAACGAAAAATATGTATCCCATATATTTATACTTGTTGCTTTATTTAAGAATTAGACACTGAAAAGTACTGTATATTTTACCGAAAAGCTTTAGTATGGTTTTGGTAAAATTAACTATGAAAAATTATTTTATAATATGCGTTAAAATATAGTAATAACGGTCATATTCGGTAATTTTATCATGATACTTTAGAGAAAGGCATAAAAATTATTTATTCGATTTACTTTTAAGTTTTGTGTCTTTTATTAAATACCTAAATACTACCAGAATTTCTAGTAAACCGTTACCACAGGAACGGAAAAACTACCAAATGAATGTTTTAATTGCCGTATATGTCGATTTTATTACTAGAATTCCTATTATTATTTTTTTTCACTAAAAGTATTTTTATTATTCAGTTCGGTAATTTTATCACGTTGGTTTTCTTCATGCAATTTAAAACTAAGAGAGTGAGAAAATTAGAAAACGGTTCTAACAAAAATGTAACATTTATCGAAACTTAAGTTTAATAAATTGTGTACGTTTTTTTAACCCTTTTTATTTAACTTCGAAAAGTTGCATATTAGTATGAAAATGATTATCAAGAAAATATTGAGGTTTTACATTAAACTTACTATATTCTGTAAAATAAGCTTTTAAGTAATTCAAATTATGAATGGTAATTTTTACTTATTTCTTTAGTAAATATGATTGCTAAGATTGCCGTTGCTTTAACATAAGGAAACTGCGTAATAAGGAATCGATGTTAATGGGCAATTAGAAAAAAAATTACAGAACAATGATTAGTAACAATTATAGTTAAAAATCGTTACAATTATGGAACATATAATTATGTTAGTAGTTAAACAATTATAGAACAATTATTATTATGGAGCAAACTGTTTACTGAATAAATTGTGCCCTTTTTATTACTAAAATATTTGAACATGTTTAGTTAACACTTTAAACTTAAACTATTAAATAATAATATTTTTTAATGTTACGCAAAATACGAAAGCTAGTTTAAAATAATTATTTTTAAAATATGAATAGAAAGTTTTTCGTTTCTTCAATATCAGGAAACGATAATAAACTATCAATTTTTACTCAAGATTTTTTTAAAAAAAAAAAAAAAAAAAGATTATAAGAAAAATTATTGAATAGTTGGTTTGAAAAATTGAGTTATTTTTCCCACTTCAAAACTTTGAAACATATTTAGGGTACCATTTTTATGTTTATCAGAGAAGGTTATTTTTAAGCTGTAGCTGAAGTTTATTTAATTGACTTTTGAAAAAAAATAATAACACATATTTTTCTGGCTGTTGAGTCAAAGTATCTCTGGTCTCTTGTACTTAGTCTTTAAATTTTCTCAAATATATAACATATTAGCTTATCAGTCATTTTTACTAAAATTATACCTGCGGTCTATATTATTCTAAGTAGTTAAATAGTCCACGATCCGTGACTCCATGCAAACTTGAGTTACTTTTTTAAAACTTATAAATTTATAGTCAAATTTTATTTTTTAAAGCATATTTTTCTCCTCAGGCCTAACATAGAGATGAATTTGCGAAAAATTTTATGCGCTTAGTAAAATACCCCTTTGTAAAAATTTGACGAAGTAACTGTCGAATGAATTAAAAGATACAATCGAATTTAACTAATAAAAACGTAAATAACAGCTTTATTAAAAGAGATTTTAAATTAGAATTTCATAAATTTCTTTAAAATTTTACTTATTAGAGAAGTATACAGAATATCATGGTTTTCAATTATTTTTGTGATTATTTTTAAAGTTTCGAATCTGTTCAGAAATAATCTTGTTAACCTTAGCTTTCTTATCGCTTTTCAACTTTTTACCCCCATTGAGTTTTATAAATGCTAAAAACTCACGATAGATGTCTCTAGAGTTTTATCAACACTTCTACATACCAAAAACATTCTAGTTCGTTACTTTAGCGTTCAGTCGTCGCCAAGGGCAACCTGACGTCACCAACGACGTCATCAAGAAAATGCGTGAGATTCGCGGCGCAGTTGTTTCCTCTCAGACCGAATCAACTAGTTACCCCGCAATGTGACTTCGGTAACCAGCACGTCGCTAAGTTTAGTCCGAAAAAATTTCTTCGCGGTTTTGTTGTTATATCTGACCACCTGTGGATTTCAATTGGGGAGCTTTAAATCACCTGAATGATGGGGAAAAACTTCTTCGACATGCTCCCTCAGCTTTTGCGGCTTTAAAGTGGTTTTTGCTTAATAATTTTTTTCACTCTTTCAACTAAATGAAAGCAACCTTGGAAGTGCGTCGTATGTTTTGGTTCCTCTAAGCTCTCGGGATTCTTTTCTTATTGCGTTAGTGAATTTTACTACAACTACCCCTTTCTACGCGAAGTGAATTAAAAGTTGTACTACGATTACTGATTGTTTTTTCCTGTAGTTTTCACCATGCCTACGTAGTACATATCAACATTACAGTTACGTAATTAAGTGAAAACAAGTTAAACTCGTACATTATTTTTGTTCTAGTCCACCTTACTTGATATTGTTTGTTTTTTATTTGTGATTCGTTTATTTTTAACTTCAAGAATTTGTGTTTTTTCTGACATGCCGTCTAAACAGGACTTCATTACCTTTGAAAGTGTGATTAACAACTGCTGTGCCGCTAAAACCTAACTTAAAGTATTGTGTTTTGATGTGAATTAATCAAAACTGGGTACTTTCAACACCTTGTTTTCTTCCGACTCTGACCATCATCAATTTTCAAAAGTGGATTACCACGCGGGACTCACAACTATGGACCCATTGGACATCGACCCGAACTTTGAGCCTCAGACGAGGGCCCGGTCGAATACATGGCCCTTGCCCCGTCCTGAGAACTTTGTGGAAGCCGGGGAAGGTGATGAGAAAAGCGGATTGCCTGCCCATCTGCAGGGGCATATCCCCGGCGGCGCCCTCGATCCACAAGCCCCGAAGAAAAATTCCTCAAGGCGGAATGCTTGGGGTAATATGTCTTATGCCGATCTTATCACACAGGCTATCCAAAGTTCTCCTGAAAAGAGATTGACACTCGCCCAAATATACGAGTGGATGGTACAGAATGTGGCATATTTCAAGGATAAAGGGGACAGCAACAGTTCTGCCGGTTGGAAGGTAGGGTTCATTAATTATCATCTAGATTTAATTAATTATTTGAAAAATTTTTGACTACCTTATGAGCAAACATAGTGAGTCGTTAATTTATATACAAAATACGGCATTTTTTATATAGTAATTATGACATGGTATTTTTATTTTATAATAAATAAACCTAATGGAGCGTTAAGGATTCATGAGTTATCATATTTAAACTTAAATCTGTGACTGCACATAGATTTTTCATTTATGAAAAAATAGTTTTTTTTTTTTAAATATTGTTTTATGTTATTAAGAACAAAACTCCAAATTTGTAGACATGATTAAATTAAGTATATTATGTTTAGGCTAATGTATTGTATGAAGTAAGGGTGCACAACCTTTTTGAGTGAAGGACCTATTGCACAGCAGGTTGACTAACGTAGGGCTACACGCATGTTTAGTCTTGCTGGCGGCAAATATGATAATTTTTATGTAAACATTAGTGTTTTAAGTGCTAAATATTTTATCAAAAAGATATGTATATTTGTTAAAAATTAAATACCTTTAATTATTAGAAATCATTCAAAATCGAAAAAAGTGATAATTATTCTATTTTTTCCCCTTTTTATCAATAATCGATTTTTCAATAATTAATACTTACTTAAATATTTGGGGGAGGGGGAATATAAATTTTTACCAAAAAAGCTAATAGGTAATAAAGTGTAAACAAACATACATATTTTAATTAGAGAAAATCAAGAAGGTTTAAATAAAAAGATAAAGCAAAATCATAATGGTTCAAAATAAGAATCAATATTTATTTGGTTTTGAATCTTATCAGATGTTATTCATTTTACTTGAATTATAAGAGGTTTTATAAAATTTAAATAAGAAACCTTTTTTCTGAAACCAAAGCAAGCAAGTCAAAAAGTGATTACTCAAATTTGAAATTCGCTTATCGTAATATCGTATTAAAAATATCGGATGTTTGAAAACCATGCGGAATTTCATAGCAATAATCATGGAAACTTACCATGCCTTAATGTTAATGATTCAAGGTCCTGACCTCAAATATGCTAGTTCATTGGTGCAGACGATAATAAAGTTACGAGATCAGACGCACAAACGTACTCTCTCTAATTAAGCATAAATTTTTTTTCAAAAGGATGCAAATTCTTGACCCTAAAAATATGAGGGCACCTACAATCTGTAAAATATGGTCCCAAAAGTTTGCTCAGGAAAACGGTCATAAGTTTGGACCCTTTAATGTTGATTTCAATTTTTGAAATCAACAATTTACCCACGAACCGATCTAGATTGAATCCTGATTCATGAAAATCCGATCGTTAGATCAAAAGTAATTCACGGTTTTTAAAAAAATTATAAATTGTGGGAAACCCTACGAATATAAGAGGTCTTGCTCTTGTTAAAATGTTCAAACAAAATCTGACTCGACGAACTGCTTAACAAAACGACGAAACTATTTGAACAAAATTAAACTTAAATGAAAGTTTTAATTGATGTAAGAATTGAGAACAATTCTTTTGAAAACGAAGTTTTGGAATTGTTGATGCCTGATGTTTTTTTTAGGAACAGTTATTCCATTATTAAGTTGCATAGAAAAAATTAAAATACTGTATTTTTAGCGAATTGTTGACATTGAAGGAACTGAAAGTTAAGACAAAGCACTGTTTGATATATAGTTAAAAATGCCTTATGTTTTTATTTTCTTGTCCAGACTTTTAAAATTTAATTAGAATTTTTCCAATGTTATAATTTAAATATTAAAAAGAAAGTTAAAAAAATATTTTTTCGATGAATGGGTAGAGATGTATTTTCTTTCTTCTTTATTTTTTTTTATTTTTATGAAAATGACAAATTTTGAAAAATTGATAATATTTCCAATCTCTTTATAAATCTCTTCTTGATATCATTAAACCATACAAAACTCAGCAACTAAATTTGAAGCCAGAGAATTTAAAAAAAAATTCTTATTGAATCCTCGTACAGTTGGCACTTTACACTCGTATTTTGAGTTTTTCCACTATTCCTGGATTATTACAACAAATAATATCAAACTGTTACTGTGATGTAATTACTAATAACTCATATTAATGTAACGAATTTAAACAATGTCGATTATATAATGAATTTAAATAAAATTGTCCAGCTCATCGAGTGAAAAGCATTCGACTGGGAATGCCGAAACTGTGTCTCGTATTAAAATTATCTTATGTTTGAAAACAAATCACAATGATGTGTTTGTTTTATTATTATTTATAATTAGTAAATGCGGGGTAAAGTTGCTATCTTCTCTATTTGTGTCGCAGTTGATTTGCGGTCATTACTCTGTGGATGCCTATGTATTGATCCTTATCAATTATTGCTCACTTTTGATGCAAAAGGAAACCGCAACTACACCACATACTTTTTTCGCACTTTGGCATTGGCTTTCCATGCATACACCCACCATCATGTTTTGCACATAGCTCACATGTTATTATTATGCCTGTTGCTGAAGTAATAATAAGCTTTAATAGAAAGAAGAATAAATGGTCACATTAAAAAAAAAAATTTTTTTTTGTTGCAATATTTCATTGTAGGCCGGGATAGCATGGTTGGTTGGACACTGGCCCCATGTCTAAGGGGTCGTGGGTTCGATCCCCGCCGGCCCCGTGTAGTAAGTGGTGACTGATGCACGTTAAATCTGCCGAAACGCAAAGACCTCCATGTCCCCATAGCAAATCAATAACCTCTGGGGATACTGATCAAGGAGTTTCCTTGTCTTATGGATTGGTTCAAAATTACAAGGCTACGGAGTTTAACATTATTAGTCGTAAACCCAAAATTGGACCGGCTGCTCAACGACGGATAAAATAAAAAATAAAAAATTATATTGTGAGCCATGGTGGCTCAGAGGAAAGAGCTTGCGCCTTCCAATGGAGTGAACTGGGTTCGAATTCCAGCAATGGCTGGTTGATGTGACTTTTGCACCTGGCTTGCACCGAACACAGTGCTGACGTAAAATCTCCTCAGTGGTTGACGAATCATGGGTTAGAGTCCCCTTGCCGCCGGGCTAACCGTGGGAGTTTTTCATAGTATCCCCTTCCATGTAACGCAAATGCGGGTTAGTTGCATCAAAAAAGTCAGTTTTCATTCAATACTTGATCCAGGTAGGAGTTCCCTTGTCTTCTGGATTGGGTTCAAAATCCCAAGGTTACAGAGTTGAACATTAGTAGTTGTTAACCAAAAAATTGAGTCGGTTGTTCAACGACGGTTATGAAATATTTCATCTTAAGGGTGAAAATATTTTGTCATCACATAGTCGCTTTGGTAAATGTCCGAAATATTACTAGGTCTAGTAAAGTGCCACTGTCTGGTATTCCGAACACTGATGTTTCTCCTAATCTATCCTCATTAGATATTAAAATATCGAATTAATGTAATAACATCAACGAATAAATTAACATCAAATCCGATGTAGCAAATATTGCGGACATACACCAAAGCTACTATTGTTGTTGTTCACTGGTTAAAGTCAACATTCTCTTAATTTCGGTCAATCATAGTAACATACATTATATGTATTTTGCCTCCCCAGATATTAAGTTCTTTTTAAGTCAGTATATTAAATTATTGTTTTATTACAGTGTTTTCATCATAGAAAAAAAAATAGGTGAGAATTTCTCACCCTTTTTCAAACACAGGGTGAGATTTCAAAAAGTTAAGTGAGATTTCTAAAAAAACACAAAATCTCTTGAAAAAAAATCATTTCTTTAATTATAATACATTTTTAACGTCTTCTACTTTTTAAAGCATTGAATATTTTTGATGAATCATCATAGAAGATTTTGCCTTTACAAGGTATTTGTCCATCTTGCATAGGTGCATAAAAAATTTGAACGTCTTACATGAAGAAACCTTACCTACGGTAAACGCGTGGTTGCGGACAAATGTGTTCTGAAAGGGATTCCGTGGTTGTGTTAGGTTGTTCGAAAAGGTTCTGAACAATACTGGTAAATAGGGAAGCTAGAGAATGGGGCAGATGTTGAAAATAATAAAAGATCCAGTAAGAAAAGTGAAACGGATTTTATTCTAAATGNATCAAAGCTACTATTGTTGTTGTTCACTGGTTAAAGTCAACATTCTCTTAATTTCGGTCAATCGTAGTAACATACATTAAATGTATTTTGCCTCCCAAGATATTTTTAAATTAAGTTCTTTTTAAGTCACTATATTAAATTATTGTTATATTATCACTATATTATTTTTAGTCACTATATTATTTTTATTGATTAATTAATAATTTGTAACCGTTGATTGTTTCTATTCTGAAATTTTTTAAGAATAATATTAGTCCAAGCAAAACAAAGTTTGCAAAAAAGGGGCTTCGGAAACGGACTCATCGATATCTGTCACTGACTCATTGGGTTTGAGGAAAAAGTTGCTAAGTTATTGGAGTCTACCGGGCACTGGCCGGAAATATAGATATTCAGGTCTAGTATTATGGTAAATATAATAAATTTTGCCTTTGTCAGTTACCTGTGGTCCCATTGCTGCTACGATCAAATTTTACGCCGATCACCTGAAGATTAAAACTATTTAAACATGTTAAGATCGCCCTTTTCAAAAGAACATTATGCATTCATGAATAAAGCTAAATACAACGTGTGAGTGACGTAAAACAAGAGAGAACAAGTTAAGTCACAAAAACGATCGTCTCGGTACTGTAATTTAACACCTTCTTAACTGTTGAATAGAATGTCTGAGTTTCATTCATGTGTGACAATATTTGTGCTGCTTTCTTTCCCTCTTGCTTAATTCGTAAACAATACTAAGTTAATCTTTTATTTTGATTCTGCATTCATAATCTCTAGGAGAAATTTTCTGTAGCGATCCTTCAAATTTTGTTTAATTTACGCACTTTTGATGCAAAATAAAATGGTAAACCAAACAGTGCCTGGATATTATTTTATGACTAATATTTATTAGTAGAATTTATACTTGTAGGTAGAAAAGTTTTTTTTTTCCTTCGA